TTTCTTGGATCAGGCTTTAAAGGGTTAATATTTCTGCTCCTTGCCTGAACCAAGGGTAAGTACGGTTTAGTTTAAGATAAGCGACATATATTTACATTTTTTGTATGTATTTGGCTTTATCCCTATAATGCCAAATGTATCATATCTGATTCATACGGTTTCTGAAGTCTTTTGGATCTGAGACTTTTTGCATCATTCAGTGGTAAAAGCTTTGCTCAAACCCCTGTTGTACACATTCAGATATACCCGATAACAGCCAGTAGAAGACTACACCAACATAAATTTCTGACTTATTGCATGCCAATTTGATCAAAATAATTAGGTTTTTTTTTCTTCATATGTTGTTGAGGGGCCAAAGAAAGACTTCAGACCAAAAAATCCAATATTCTTCCTATTTTTCTGGGATTTTCTGGCTTTAAAGGGTAAAACAGCAGCCAGAAAAAAAAAAAAAAAGCAAGAAATCTGTGTAGAAAGAGAAAAATGACTGGAGTGGAGGGGAGTTCAGGTCCCGGAAACAGCAGAATCCTGATATCTGAACCTGAAAGCTGCTTCCTCTTAACTCATTGGCTGCCAAAGACGTCTATAGACGTCTTTTTTGATCGTGGGAAATGAAGGAGATCAACCCGGGCCAAGCGGAGAGAGTAGGCCTGGCTCACGGCGTGTTTCAGAACTATTTGCATAAATGTATTTCTGAATAAATTGTTTTGTAATTTAAAACCATTTCTAGATGTTGTTTTTGCAGTTTTATAGAAGGATACAACCTTTAAGATGTTTGAGGTGTCACTAAAGCCAAAAAAATAGCATTATTTTCTCCATTTATTGGTCAAAAACTGGTGTTTTGTTGAAACCAGCCTATGTTCTACTGCTGATTACTAAAGAACGGAATAATGTAGAAACAAATTTTTTTTCCTTATGAAAGAAGAGAGTCTACTCTTTCTTTTGGTGTGTTCGGTGTTTACATAGTCATAGCACAAACTATTCTGTGGCTCTTGAAAAATCAGTCAAAATGCTCAAAAAACTCTGGCAGTATGGGACTCTTCTTTTCTGAAAATGGCTGCCAGTCAACGAGTTAATGTCGGTTCTCAGATACCTGCTCCATGCCCCCGAAGGTCTCCTGCAGGTCCCCGGCGGGCGTCAGGTGGCGGGCGGCGCGGGTCATGGCGTACATGTGTCCGGAGTAGGAGATGCCATTGGCCAGCTCCTGAGCCGCCATCATCACCAGAACTCTCAGACGCTCCTCCTCGTCAAAACGGGGGCTGGGAAAAAAAGGGACACGGCGGGGAGTTACAGTGGGGGAAATAAAATAAGTATTTGACCCCTTGCTGATTTTGCAGGTTTGCCCACTTACAAAGAATGCAACGATCTATAACTTTAATCACATGTACATTCTAACAGGGAAAGACAGAATCCCAAGACTGTCTCTCACAGAGAGCATTCTGACTGATTTTTCAAGAGAGTTTGTGCTATGACTATGTAAACACCGAACACACCAAAAGAAAGAGTAGACTCTCTTCTTTCAGCAGGAAATTTTTTTTTGTTTCTACCTTATTCCGTTCTTACTGGACTTGCGTCTCACCGGCGACATGTTCTCTCATAGAACCGTTAGCTTTTTCTTATTTGCCTACAGTCTATGCTCATCTCCCATCAAAAGTGGCACTGCCCCCTAGAGGGTCAATTTGTTACTACATACTCTGTCTAGAAGCCTGATATTTACGGACAAGCTTTAGCAGATCGTCCCCCAGCCACTCTCGTTGAAAAACATAAAAGACGTCTATAGACGTCTTTGGCAGCCAATGAGTTAATCACAGGACGCAACTGGTTTGACAGTAAAACTAAGTGCAGTTGTTTCTTTGTTTCACGCGGCCAAAAAGGAGCGTGGTCACAAGGATCACTACTGTGGTCAGCAGACACCAGTGGTCACTGCTGGGTCAGCTTCTCATATCTGCAAACCAACTTGTACTTATGATAACAATTTCTTGCTATCACACAAGCACAGTTAAACCTTTACATACACACACGTATACAGTAGAAACTCTTGAAGACCCCCCTCTTCAAAGATTATCTCCCATCCTAACCCTAACCCGTACCTCTACCCCCCACAGCTCCTATCCTAACCCTAACCCGTACCTCTACCCCCCCACAGCTCCTTCTGTAGTCCCTCTACCTCTATCTCTATCTCACCACTGACTCTGATCAGTGTTTCTCCTCTGTATAGCTTATTGTCATAGTGATGAGAAATGTAATATTGTGTCTACTCTGTAAGTCGCTTTGGATAAAAGCGTCTGCCAAATGCATAAACATAAAGAACACTCGGAATAACCTGTTGAATATGTCGCTCCACAGCTGGAACATGTGGGGGAGGTTCCTCTCCAGGCAGGAGGAGGACAAGAGGATACCCTGGGAGGAAAGGAGGGAAGAAAGAGGGGGTTCAGTTCATTCAGTTTCACAAATAGCTACAATAGCTAAAGCTGGCCGGGACCAGAGACGGTGTTTTGATGTACAGTGTGGGAAATAAGTATTTGACCCCTTGTTGATTTTGCAGGTTTGCCCACTTACAAAGAATGCTTATTTTTCCTCATCAGATGGTTATCATTTTTTTTATAAATTGATATGATTTTCTGGAATTTTCTTTGGGATTCT